TATATATATATATATATATATATATATATATATATATATATATATATATATATATATATATATATATATATATATATATATATATATATATATATATATATACAGCACTTAAAGTGTCTGTTGAAACTAGAAAAAATTGTCAAGATCTGAGAACAGCTTTTATCCTGTGATCATGGCAAAATATCACAGAAAAAAGCATAATGTATGGCTGTTCTTCCATACTTCTGGATTATTTTGAATCAAACTTTTTTGTCTTTGACCACATTCAAGAACATTAAACTATGTTCACATAGTTTATTTATTTTGTGTGATGATTAATAAGATTAATAAACACTTCATTAACACTTCATTCATGTACTGTTATTGTAAAGTGTTACCCATATTCCTAACTTAATTTAGACTACTGTAGCCATTTTTAAATCACTGATTAGGCATCAACTACTACTGTAGTTCAAAACTAAATAAACATTTTGTTGACTGGTAAGTCAAATTAAGTAAAACTATTAGTAATTACAATAATGAACTAGTCTTATACTTAATTTTTTACATTACCATCACGCAAAACCAGCATAATGCTTAACTAGTACATTATTACACTTAGCTGTTGCATAATAATGTTATCAATGTGTTATAATCATCCATTCACATTTATTTTGTGGCGTAATTTAGTATAATAACAAATACTTGTTTACTGCAGATTGCATGTTCGGTTCACCAGTGTTGATGAAGTACAGTGTGTTTAAGGAGCTCTTACTCTATCAGATGTGTGTGGTCCATCAACAAAGGACTTCAGCAGAACTCATGGAGTTCCTTTATAACACAACATCCTGTATTCTCCCCTCTTCTTCCTCCTCTTCATCTTGATCATCATATTGAATGCGAATCTCAGGTCCGTCTTTATGTGACTCAGGCTGGCTCTGCGCTCGCTCAGGTTTGGGTGTGGAGACAGATGACGAGGGTGGAGATGGCTGCTGGACAGACATGGCCCGGCGCAGCAGCGGAGTGCGTTTGCAGGACAGGAAGTCCGGGGATGGAGACAGGAAGTCCGTTTTGGAGGAAAGGCCAAACGATCCCTGACGAAGCACCATGCGGTTCTTTTTAGAGCGAGATCCATGCTCAAACTCAAGAGTAGAGAGATGAGCTGCGTAGCCTTCACTCAGAAACTAAAACAGTAAAAAAAAACAGTATAGGAGTACAGAAGCATGTTTTAGAGTTACAAATATTCTGAAGCACAGTTTGAAAACTTAAACGATCAAAATTGGAGAACATTTTCAGATTCCTCCTGAATTGCAGATAGTTACAAATATTCCATTGTTTTAAATGGGGAAAATGGATGTTAATTACTGCATAAATGTTAATTATTATCACAAAAACCTCTCAAAACAATATAGAAGAATATTATTATTTAACAAGAATAAATTTGATTGATTTTACCAAAAAAAAAACAGGGTATTGTGCAGGCGTTCAAGATCACAAGTGTGATTACATAATAAAGAACGTGGTTAATTATCTGACAACCCTTATTTAACTGGTAGCCGAACTTTCCAGTTCACTTTTTAAGAAGCTCAGCTATACTAAATGTACTGAAATCTCTGACAGCAGGCTGTCTAGATAAAGGCCAAAGAAATGATCGTTTCACACATCAAGAGAAGCTGACTGTTCTAAATCTGTCATTTCTAGACTATTGCATCTTTACAATGTAAATAACTCCTTCAAGTCTCTTAAATAAGCTGATCTTCCACAAAAGGCAAATACTGTGAGAGGATACTGTGGAGAATCAAACAGGTAATTTAATTGGAGAGCTACAGTATGAGCCTCATCAGACAGAAAACAAGTAAAGCAGTTCCATGAAGCTGATAATAATGAAATGGCAGGCCAGAGTCCTGATGTAAACCTTATTGAAAAACTCTGGAAAATCCTTGGTGACTAAGTTATGCGACTGGAGGTTAGAGATGTCCTTTGAAATCTTATAATGCAAGGTCCTGTACATTTACTAAAATGTTTGATTGCTGCAACCAATCAAAAATTCTATTGCAATTGTGCTATAATCTTTGCTATTTTCTAACTTTGATCACTATTTTCTACACAATAAATAGTTTCTTTTGAAGTTCCTTATTTATTATGAGAAACACAGTATATGAAACAACTAAAATTCCTTACAATTTCTTTTAAAATCCTTTTAAACATTACCTTATATGTGAAAAAAAAAAGTTTTTATAAACTGTTTTCTAATTTTGATTTCCATTGTAGTACTGTTAAATAGTTTAATCAGTTAACAACAACCAGTTCTTGTTGAAGCTTTTAAAATATTAGCTAACCCCTCACCTAGTTTATTTTGTGAGTACAAGTTATTGCCTTCCGGTAGACAATACAGGCTGCCTGTGTGCACATACAATCATTTTTATTTTATTTAATTTTTTCCCCTACATTAATTAGAATTTTTTTTTCAATACACATTTTGCCGTTGGGGACAATAAATTGTATTAAGTGATTAAGGAAAGTACTTGATGATGAAAAAAACGTCATAGACAATTGAGTGATTACCTGACACTGGTGCTGATGTTTCTTCGATGGTCTGCCAACAATGTATATCTGATTAGGTGCCAGTCCAAGTGTGCTGTACACGGACATGTCCTTCATAGAGCCATATGCTGCACTGATCTTAATGTGACACTGCGTGGAAAAAAAAATATATATATATAGCATTATCTGCCAGCCCAATGAAAAAGTCAGATATGTGAGGTGTTTTAAATAAAAATGAAGCTGGTTATAAGACTGCATGTGATACAGACCTCTTTCACCAGACTCTTCAAAAAAATGGTTTTCTGACGCAATGGGTCATGAACGAGTCCCTCAGAGAAGAAGACCATTCCCTGAGGGAAGTTGTGCTGAGAGAGCCAAGACACCACCCTCTGCTTCTGCATGTCAGGACGGCCCGTGATGTAGATGATCAGATATCCCAGATCCTGCCAGTGTCTGGAAAGCAATCAAAACGTGTGGTTATACATGGGCCAACAATGATCAAATAAATAATTGAATAAGAATGGGTTAAGTGGTTGAACTTGATGAATAAGGTCAACTAAACATTTTTTGACTTATCATCAGGTTGTACTGCATGACCTGTTCCGATTTATTATGATTGTTATGATTTTAAAGAATCATAAATGTTTTGTAGTGGGTTATCTACACTGTTATCCTGTAATAACAGAGCTGAAAAATACCATACAATAGTCTATCAGCAGAATATGTGAAAATAATGGCAGTGCTGGATGTTTTCGGTTTCTTTTTTTAGTTCAATTGAGTAAGTGAGACAACTCAAAATAATCTGAGACAAGGACATACTGAAGATACTGTTTTTTGAATGGGTGGCTAAATGACCCTATTTGTCACCCTCTACTGGCAGTTTTATAGTTTCATATTTACTGCACTCTATTAACAGTTCGTATAAATATCCTTTAACGCCACCAGATAAAGCATCTGAAGAAAAAATGGGTCACTTTATTCCAAAGTATCTTAAGTCTTACTATTAACAAACCAATATACTTGATGTTTGCCTCAATAAACTCCTCATTTTCTGCTTATTTGGTAAGCAACGGTAAATTTGGCTGCACCTTATGACTTGTCTAACTATTCGTCATCATTCGCATGATTACCTGACCACATCCACAGCTCCAGGCCGGACTTTGGGATCGCTACCCATAAGAGAAACGCTGGCGGCGAAGGAGCCATCAATACTAAACACCACACACTCCATTCCCTGTGGAAGCACTGTGAGAAAAGCCTCTGCACTCGTCTGATCGCCTCTGTAAAGACAAATAAACAAGCTCAGGCATTGAATTCCTTTTCTTTAAATCATTTGGTGAACACACATATCCACTGTCTACACTGTTAACCTTTACTGTAGATTATGCAGTAAATAACTGTAAAATAGCCAGTGTTTTGCTGTAATAAAATAAAATATCCTCTATTAACAAACTTCAATTAGTACACAACGCAGCTATCAGAGTTCTTACCAGGTCTAGAAAATATGATCATATCACCCCAATTCTATCCTCCTTACACTGTCTGCCTGTTAAGTTTCGTATTGAATTTAAAATATTACTCCTCACCTGTAAAGCTCAAAATAATCTAGCTCCTGTTTATCAAACCAACCTTCAGTCTCGCTACAATCCAACTCGCTCTTTAAGATCTCAAAACTCAGGGCTTCTGGTAGTACCTAGAGTAGCAAAGTTGAGTAAAGAAGGTCGAGCCTTCTCCTTTATGGTTCCTACACTCTGGAATAGCCTTCTTGATAACATCTAAGACTTATACACACTCTCTAAGTTCAAAACTAGATTAAAGACCTATCTGTTTAGTAAAGCATACACTTAACGGGTTTCCACACAAGTTTCTGCATCTTGTTTATATACACTATGAACAGCAGCTTCTCTAATTAGTCTATTTTTTGGTCACACTTAAGTGGCCTTAACTAATATGTACTCACACAGGAATTAATAGTTTGTTACAATGTACTTATTGTGTAAATGCATGTATTTACTGTGTGCTTATGCTTGATTAAATACATGTATGTAATTACATCGGTAATTAGCTTTTGTAATTATATTTGTGAATACACTGTTGACCATCCCTTACACCTTAACCCACCCTTAAACCTACCCATACCACCAAACCTGTCCATAACCCAACCTCTATCCCAACTCAAAAACACCACGTGTTCTCAAATACATTATAAAAACAGTAAGTACATTGTATTTATTTTTATGTAAGTACATAGTAGTTAAGGACACTTAATATAAAGTGGGACCTCTTTTTTTTCTCCATTTCCACCTGGGGATACTCATCCTGAGGTCCACAGATTATGCTGATTGGATCCAAGACCAGCGACAAGATGATCCCAAGATCTCCATATCCAGGACAAGGCCGTAACCTGAGCTGCTGGTGGTCATGGGGAGTGGAGAGCATGAGACTGATTCCAGTGACGCTCCCGGGACAGACGAGTCTTCACTGAGGCCACCTTACAGCCTCCACCACTGAGACTGCAGCTCTGCGCAAGACTTGGTCAGCGGAGAAATTAAAATGGTCGTGCCGAACTGAATCTCAAGGTTTTTTTTTTCTTCACTCTCCGATCGGTGAAGTTTTTTTCCCTCTCCGCTGTCACCACTGGCTTGCATAGTTCAGGATGGCAGAGCTACGCATCGATGAATTTGCTCTTCAGAGTTTGGACTCTCAGTAATGATGTTAAACCACACTGAACTGAGCTAAACTGAACTGAACTTAAACACTAAAAACTGAACTACCCTAATCCAGTTACTATGACCCTTTATGTGAAGCTGCTTTGACACAATCGACATTGTAAAAGCGCTATACAAATAAAGCTGAATTGAAAAAAAAAAAAAAAAAAATTACAGTAATTCACTGGCAACACTGTTGCCAGTTACTCACTGTAACCAAATCATTACAGTGAATAGCTGGCAACAGTTTTGCCAGTATTATACTGTAAAAAAAGCCTGGTAAGGGTTAACAGTGTACACACATATTTCAATGTGACTCTGAAAGTAAGTTTTGTAATGAGAACATGAATACTTACTTGACCACCATTTTGATGGGGTAAACACCGACCCCCAGTCTTTTATTATCAGGAATGGTGTAGGACACGCGTCCACTGCTGCTGGTCACCACAGTGTCGAACAGCACCCAGCGGCCAGACCCAGACTGAGTCTTTAAAAACACATCCACCTGAGAAACACATCAACAAGAGATTTAATAAAGGCTGTTTAGTGCCAGCTACCCACAAGGGAGAATCAAACTGTTCTAAAGTAGTTTTGTTTCAAACCTGTTTGGTTTTAAAGGGTCACGAAACACCAAAACACATTTTTTGAGCTGTTGACAGTCATATATGTGTCCCACACTGCTATAAACACTATTAGGACACCTATATTTCACTAAAAAGTGTAAATTGGTTGTTTTTGCGTTATTTCAAGCAAATTCGTACTTCCTGTTTGAAACAAATTTTTGAAGCTGCGTCACGGTCATGAGATAATAGCGTGTATTCCAGCGTGCAGACTGGACGCCTGTGCCAGAGTGTGCCTTATTACGTCTTACAGTGTGTTGCATTAATGCATGAGTAAGACTTGGTTCAAACCAATCAGCGCGCTCTATTGTGCAACTTCATTAATATTCATTAGTGTCACCGTCTTTACACCACAGAGACGCCACGTAGTGTTGGCAAAACAAGCGTGAAGTGTTGCTTTTACAGTTTGCTGCCATTAAGTTTCGTTTTCATTTTCTCTCTGTGAGAGTTTATCTGGATCACGTGTGGATTAACAGTGTACGCGACGCTCGACAACAATAATTTACGTGTCTAAGGGGGATTATTGTTTACCTGAGAGCTGTTCTCATCTGCAAACGCTGAGATCTGGATTACGGATGTAGTCTTCTCTTCATAAAGACGCGGCTCTAGTTGCTGGTGATTGTTCTGTCTCTACAGATTTGGTAAGTGAGCGACCAGTGCTCTTTGTATATTCAGTTTGTTCGTATCAAATAAGTTAACTATTGCATTGAGTGCAAACATGTTAGCACCGCATTTTGTGACCGGAATAACACACGCGGCTTTCGGACGCTACCTGCCGTGTGCATCTAAGTTTCCGGGAAATGCGGAGTTTTTTTTCTCTCATTCGCCGTGCGGTATCAAACATTGCATGAAAAATACACGGTTAGAGCAGATCTTCGAATCAAATATCTCATTTGTCGCGAGGGGCATGAATGAATTCCCTGAATGAAAGAGCCAAACTGCAGTTAAAGTCCAACATTTAATAATTTGGCAAATAATTCGACTACAGATGTCCATGTAGGTTAAACACCATCCCTTTCTCCTGTGTATTTTGACTGAAACTCGCGCGTGCCCAAATAGACACTCCCACACCCTCCCACTTTAGTTTCTCCGACACTCCCCCCTAAACAGAGCTGGACACCCCCACTTTTCTGACTTTTTCCAAAGAAGAGGTGTGAAAACACCCTGCTGAAACGAGGGGGTTTCATGGCCCTTTAAAGCATTATACTTCATATGGCACAGTGGGTCAGAGAGGAAGCCTCTTTTTTTGTGTCCGTATCATATATATTTATTAACAGTTAACATTTATTTAATTAACACATATTAAAGTCAAATGTCTACTTCAATATTTCAAATAACTTAAAGGGCAACTATGATGAAACTCATTTTTTGTAAACTTTTTGGACAGAACTTTGTGTATGTATAGTGTGTCCACTGTCATATTGGAGTGATAGAAACACAATAGGTCTCTTTTTTAAAAATTGCCTGATGTCAAAACAGGATCCGGTGAGGCCCACCACAACATGATGTTGGAGTGCGGTTTCCCCGCCCACTGAATTGATTGACAGTAGCGTATTAGCATAACTCCGTAGTAGGGCGTATAATATCCACAAGACAGGACGTGCACAAAGCAACTGGGATTAAAAGATCTGTTCAGCTCTCTGTGATCATCTGCACCTCAAGAATGAGTGTAAAACATTTTTAAAACAGTGCATGTTTGTAATAAGTACAGTAAAACTGCTGTAATTCTTCACCACAGCCACATAGTGTCAGTACAATTATTATTTCAAACCTGGTTTGTGGATACAAATCAAGTTTATTTTGTTCATTAACGGGATGGTCGAAAGCTAAAAGTGTGTGTTTGTGCATGTGCAAGTTATAACTACATTGTGTGACTCATCATTGCAGAAAGGCTTGAATTAGATTCACAGCAAACATATCAAATAACGTAAGTTCTTACTGTTGAAAGGGAGATCTGCTTCATTCTTGTCTATCACTGTGCTGTTTATCTACTTGAATAAACAGGCGGGGGTGGAGGTGAGGGGTTCGCGGACGCCGTCCTCATTATTCTATGGACACACTGGCCCTGATAACACTGGTAAGAACCAGGTACACTGTACTATGGTGTTAGTAACTAATGTGAAGTTGTTTCTTTAATATGCATTCTATGTATCGGCTGTCATAGGTCAAATCAGCGCAGATAAGCTTCGAGCTAAGGAGGGGTTTGGGAACAAACAAATCACTGAACGATTCATATGGGAGTCACTGGGATAATTAGGTAAAAATAAATGCAGATTATTTTTTATTAAGACCATGAAAGTGTTTTTTGAGCTTGCATGCATATAAGACTTTTGTTGGAGACCCTTGCAACCAAAATATCACCCTATTTCATGTATAATAGGGGCTCTTTAAAATCTCAGGATTACCGCAGTATTGATTTCACTATGTCCTGCTACAGCTCTACTAAAAGTCTCCCGGTAACACTTGTAACGAACAAACGTTACATGCTTTAATTGTTGTTTTAGTTTCTTGTGATGCGAGAAGCACTGGTTGCAATATTACTATAGGCCACTAGGTTGCACTAGAGGGGAGTGAGAACTGGATATATTCCAGCTCACCATAGAGCAAGTGAGTCGTGTTTGGTAGAGGGAACCACATGGTGAACTGAGGCTACCGACCCACTCCAGTTCTGATTGTTTTGAGAACATTATTGTTGCTGCTCAAATGTGAGTATTGAATACATTTTAAGTTTGAAAGTATTTTCAATGGTTGGTTGTGATTTGCCCTATGTTTATTTCTTATGTAGACAGGACCTGTTGTCCTAGAGATGTTCAGATGAGGTGTTTGTTGGTGCTTTCAATGGACTGCAATGATTTGGTTTCAACGTTCTTTATGCTTCTCATTGGCAAATGAACTATATGTGTACACGTGGAATGACGGTCAGTGACTCTTAAATTCCTCATACTACCGTTTTCCCAGTGTGAGGAAGTGGATCTTATTGCATCGCACTCAAATCCATCTACCCAACATTCACCCAACCATCTATATCATTTACACAGACTGTTTACATTCAATGACTGCTTGGTTTTGGATATTGATTACTTTTGTTTGTGTGGACTAAATACTGTATACACATGTAGAGAAATTAAACAAGAAGGAAAAAGGGAAAAACAGGCTTGTGAAGTTTATTTTAATTTCAGTATGTGTGAAATAAAAATTCTGTGAACTCCCTCAGTGTAACATCTTGCATGCATAGAGGTGGTGTTACACACTTTACAATAAGGTTCATTAGTTAATGCATTTACTAACATGAACTAATCATGAACAACACAGCATTTATTAATCATAACTGAACATTTACTAATGCATTATTAACATTCAAGTCCATGCTTGTTAACATTAGTTCATGCACCATGAGTTAACATGAACTAACAATGAAGTAGTAGATGTATTGTTCATTGTTTGTTCATGTTAGTAAATGCATTACTTAACATTAACTAATGAACCTTATTGTAAAGTGTGACCAGTCTCCCTCTCAACCTTATTAGTTTAATACTCGCGCGATCACTCCTCTACTTGTCCACAATTCTGACACACATAGCATCAAAAAAGGAGTCATTTCTCACCTTCTCTCCAGTTAAAGTGACCATGTCCAAAGGTCCATACATAAAGCGTCCCACCAGCGTCTGCGGCCCGTCTTCTGTCACGATGACATCATGCACTCTGTGATTGGCTGTTATGTTCTGTTAACGAACACAAAAGTTTGCTCAGCACTGACTATTAAAATCTGCTCCGCTCCTAATAACTGACACAGTGCTGTGTGTTACTTCATGTAAGCACCTTGAATGCTAGTTAAATCAGAAAAGTTTTAAATGATTCTCCAGCTCAGTGGTGTATTTTTCATGTACATATACTGCAAGACTTAGTAACTCACTTCTGTCTTGCACTTCACAGTCTTGCAACTTCGTTAGGGAACATGGAAATACCTGACAAGAGCTCTCTAAGGATTTCATGTTGACAGTATGAGGCGCATTAGAAAGACTCTGAAAAAGGAATCAGAAGCTGCACTGGCAGGTTAAATATGCAGTAGACGAGCATCAACACGATAAAACTTTAACTAGCATCAGTTATGTAAAACCTCCAACAGTTTGAGTGGAGAGTTTGATTAGCGCTAACTAGCATTTGATCTGCAAGTCACTTCGTTATTTTTATCCGTTATTTTCTTGTCGGCTTAGTCCCTTCATCAATCCGGGGTCGCCTCAGCGGAATGAACCGCCAACTTATCCAGCAAGTTTTTACGCAGCGGATGCCCTTCCAGCTGCAACCTATCTCTGGGAAACATCCACACACACACTCACACACTATGGACAATTTAGGCAACCCAATTCACCTGTACCACATGTCTTTGGACTGTGGGGGAAACCGGAGCACCCGGAGAAAACCCACGCAAACGCAGGGAGAACATGCAAAATCCACACGCCAACTGAGGCGAGGCTTGAACCAGTGACATTCTTTCTGTGAGGCGACAGCACTACCTACTGCGCCACTGCTTCGCCCCAGTTACCAAACTTATTTAGAAATTGGAAGACAATACGATTAAATTCAAGCAAAACATTGTACTTAAAAATTACCACCAACAAAATTTCAACTAATCCTTTCAATTTTTTTGCTTCTCTTGATTTTTCCTCTTTTTTAAATGTTGTATTTAAAAAAATTTTCATAACATAAATTTGGCTGTACAAGTTTTTGTACTGTTATCCTAAGTTATTTTATTAATTAAGCTCCAGATTTGGCTTCAGTACCAACTAATCTAATGTATATGCACAAATATAATATTGCATAGCTTCCTATTAAAAATATTTAAAAGATATATTTGTGAGGGGTGTACTTATATATGCTGAGCACTGTAAGCTATAATGTGGTCAGCATGTTGTTTTGTCTAGGTAAAAGAAGTTATAAAAGTAAATTTTTGAGATGGTGGTGGTGCTATACTGTTGGTTCTAGAGACACTGATGGTTAATCAGGGTTCTACTGTGAATCAATCCAATGAATGTACCAAATTTCATCAATTTCCTAGTTGCTTAATAGATCCGAGTGCTTGATTCTGGAAACATACACTTTGTCTAACATGGTTTCATCAAGTAGAATAATTGAAGATGAGCTCTACAGATATTCACCCGTAGTTTGACATGTGTTCGTCTGCGAAGCCATTTCTCTCGGGGACTGGATGGAGAGATGGGAATAGCGTCCGAACAATCAGCCTCTCCGGCTTTCAGACAGTCACACCGCATTACCTGATAAGAAAAAGTCAATGAAAATGATCAAATTCAATCCTAAGACTTTGTCTAAGTTAATAATAAACGTAGGAGAGACTCCATTAAAACATTTTATTTTCAGTTTAGATAATTAACAATGACTTTTTTGCTCAGAGTTTGTCCAAATTGAATTTCTTTTTACAGGTTTAAATGAAATATTGTGTGTGATGCACACTTTGACTATGTGATTTTTCCCCTGTGCACCCACTGTTTCTTCAAGAGTTTGAGCTGACTGACAAATAAAAAAACATTTATTTATTGTTTCCATTCTCAATCTCTTCTATAATATACATTCGTTGTGTTCACAAGCAAGTGTAATTCTTGATAACATGTTATTGAATCCGCTCCCACAAGTCTGTGTCCTTGTGTCCTGTGTCCAGCAAGGCATTATTCAACATACTCTGAACACATTAGCCTTTCATTAGCATTTCGTCTTATCTTTTGACTGGATCAATGCACTTCTTCATGTTTCCAAATATAGTCACCGGATGACGCATTTCAGTATTATTGCATAGTCTGTGCTGTTTGGCCTTCTTTTTTCTGCTGTTTGTTTAGAAGGCAGCTCTTTGTTTGACTCAGCGTCTCTGTAGAGCTCTCTAAGAGACTAGACTAGTGACTCACTATCAGTTCACGTGAATCTTATCCAAGAAGGTATAAAATATCTGCAGAAAGCTGCTTATTAGCATCGCCATTCGCCTCAATGGAAATTGCCTGCTTGTGCAGCTGTAAGTGTGTGATTTTAATTCTGCCATATTTGCTCATGGTGGTTCAGTTCAGCTTTCAAAAAATGCAGGGCAATATTTTGAGCCTATAAACTAAACTTGTTAGGGTTCCTGTGTCCATCCCTGCTGAAAAATCCAGCTCAAACCAGCCTAGGCTGGTTTAAGCTGGATTTTTCAGCAGGGATGTGCTTTGTCTTTTCCCATGCCCATGTTCCATGTGCTTTTGTTATGATCATGTGCTCCTTTGTTCTGTTTTCCCGCCTCTAGTTAGTTTAATGAATTTCACCTGTGTCTCACCCCTGTGTGTAATTAGTTCAGTGATGTACTGTGTATTTATACTCCTGTGTTTGGTTCAGACCTTAGTCTGGTATTATGTCTATCCATGTTGGTTTCACTCCATGGTTCCTGTGTGTTGACGTGCCACTGTTTCCAGAATGTTACATAAATAAATGTGCTTTGATAATTCCTGTGAGTTTGTGAGGGAGAGCAGTCATGACAGAACTACAGTACAAATGTCATGTCGCTAATTACTAGCATATGTGCAGAAATTAATAAGCAACTATTTGTAATTATAACACACTGTAATTAAAATAATATAATTTTGGTTACAATAAAAAAAAAACTTTATTACAGGATTATAAAATATATACTTAATCAAATATTTAATGTAATTCTTCATTCATTTATTCATTTTCCTTTGGCTTAGTCCCTATTTTAGAGAGGCAACATGTGAGGCAACAATGCTTACCACTGAGCCAACATGCCCCTTAATATAATTCTTAATTTATATTAACTAATAAAATAAAAATATAGGGTATCACTTTAGAATAACTGTCAATTAATAATAATTTTTCCTAAAATTATTAAGTATGAATAATCTTGTAAAGCATTTATTATTCATAGTTCAACTTTAACTACTATTGCATTATTGAAATAAGTTGTGCTAGTAAAATTAGTTAATGCAAAGTGAGGTTATGTGAAATAACATGAAGTAATGTTATATAACAAATATTTATATAACTCCTGTCAGCTCAGAACAGGAAACGGAGGCTACAATTCGCACAGGCTCACCAAAAATGGACAATGGAAGATTGAAAAACGTTGCCTGGTCTAATGAGTCTCGATTTCTGCTGCGACATTCGGATGGTCGGGTCAGAATTTGGCAATTTCAACATGAAAGCATGGAACCATCCTGCCTTGTATTAACGGTTCAGGCTGGTGGTGGTGGTATAATGGTGTGGGGGATATTTTCTTGGGACACTTAGTACCAAATGAGCTTTGTGTCACAGTGTACTTATCTCAATTCAATAGAGCACCTTTGGGATGGTGGAACGGGAGATTTGCATCATTGATGTGCAGCTGACAAATCTGCAGCAACTGTGTGATGCTATCATGTAAATATGGACCTCTGAGGAAATCTCTGAGGAATATTTCCAGTACTTTGTTGAATCTATGCCACATAGGATTAAGTCAGTGCTGTTGCTAGAGGTTATGAAAAGCAAAATGCGGTACTAAGGTGTACCTAATAATATGACTGGTGAGTGTATATATACTGTATGTTCATTTTAATATAATATTTGTCATTTATTCATAATAATATTTTAGGAAATAATACATGGCATACACAACTCCTTTTGAATAGACATGAATTGAAGAATCTGCTTTATTGTTCACAGATTGTGTAGTTACAGCATACAGTAACTGGGTCGTGCTGAACAGACTAGGCAGACCTTGAATCCTTGTTCAGGGCTCTTCAGTGTGATCAAGAGCTCTGATCCACCGTGCATCAGGCTCCCTTGAGCTGAAAACATTTGAAAAGCTGACCTTCACATTTCAAGAATCGAACTATGAAAATCCCATCCTACTGTGTATTGTCAGTCTGCATTCATTTACTGATCCCATTCAGATCTGAGGAAGCCCTTGAGCCTTCAATATCTACTCAGACAACCAGAGAGAAAAAGACGTGATTTATGCCAATATTTCCCCATACATGAGAGTGTACTGATTGATTTATTAGCAGGTCCCAACTAACAAGGCTATAGCTGATGTTGAAGGTACCAGGAACAACAGCACATGCATCATTCAGATATCCATCAGTGTTACTGGCTGATCTGAAGTAAGTTAATGAAAAAAGAAAAAAAAAAACTGAAACCAAATTCTGCTATCAAGCCATTTGGTCTATTTTTCTGATGGGATAAAGTGATCTTTTAAAAAAAAGAGCTCATTTTATAACTCTTCTAGATTAAAACAATTTAGTTTTATCATTTCTGAATCCATTCAGCTGATCTTTGGGTCTAGGAGGGGACACTTTTAGCTTGGCATATATCATTGAATTAGATTAGACCAGTATCATCTTGCTAATTTTTTTTTCACTTCAAATAATGCTATTTTCTTACTTAGATTTTTTTTATCTTGTTTCTAGTCCAAATATCTAAGAATTCCTAAATCAAAAAAGCATTTTATATATAAAATATATATATATAC